AACACTCTTTCTCTAAGTAAACACTCTTAGCTGATCTAGTTGTATTTACAACATAAAAAATCTTACAAACACACTTTATCTTTTTATTGCTATTTATTTCAATATCTTTTTTTTACTTCTCTGTATTCATTAAACGAACAATTTCTAAACTAAAAAAAACCCAAGTTAAGACCATTTTGTATTCCACTACAACTGTTGTGAACCTGTTGCTAAAAAAAAGTACAATTGATTGATTTCTCTCTAACTTCTTTTTTACACACTTTTAAGTTGTTTTTTTTTTTTTTTTTTGATTATTTTTAACTTTACACTACATAACATTTTCTTAAGCTTCTATCAATCTTTTACACTCTGAAATCTTAGTATTCATTCTTCTTCTGTCTCTGTAATGGATAAATCTGCATCAGTATCTGAAATCAAATATTAACTATCTGTGATAAAAACTTCTATAGTAATCTAACAACTCAGTAGAGTGAGCTTTAAATAAAATAATAAATAGAATATTTTATAATTTTTTTATTTATAATTATATTATTATTTACTTTAAATTTATAAATAAACAGGGACTGAGCAGGCTGATATTTATTTGATTTAAATTGTTTATTTAATTTAAATAAATTTTGATGATAAATATAAGAGCTCAAAGTAATCAAAGCTTTAACCTTTAATTTATTTTAAATAAAATTTAAAAGTCTTCATAATATCATAAAAAGAAACCAGAATATAAGTTTACATTTTTAATATATAAATTCAATTTAGAAGTATTCATAACATTAATAAAAGAGCAAGGATAATTATTATCATTGTTTTTCTTTTCCTTATTTATATTTCATTTGCTTTTCTTCCTTTTTTGTTGTTGAGAACTTTATGTTTTTTATGTGTCACTCCATTGACTAGTTTGTAACTATATAAGTGACACCTAACCAATTTCTGTAATCTTACGATGAAAATTTTTAAATTTTTATTATTATGGTTAAATAAAATTAAAAAAAATTAAACATACACAGAATTTAAAACAGTAGCAACGTATCTTTAATCTTCTTTAAAGTGAGATTACTAAGGTTTATAGGTCAAATGTTGAAACCAAATTTTGTTCTATTTGCGGTAATCCCACACAAAAATTAATATAAGTTCGTTACATAATACAAATTAAGGTTTTTTTTTCATTTTATTTTTAAAAAGTTTTAATTTGTTTTAAATTATAAGGTTTTTATTCTGCATAAAAATGCTGATTCAGTTCATCTAAAGTCACACTTGGAAGCCTTCAAAGTGTATGAAGACCTTCCTTAATTTTACTATTATATTCAAAATATTTCTACTTATTTATTATCATCCCCTCCATAACAAGACATTTGGGAGTAAATAATACTAAGTATATGATATAGACTCCAACTTTAACTCTGTAGTCCTGAATTTACAACTTAATTAGACACTGGCAATTAGCATATTTTTATAACTTGTACAACAGTAGCTTATAACTTTAATTACTTAAATTTTTTTGCCGAAGCCAAAGATTCGGAAAAAAATTGACCTGGCTTCGGCCAAACCGAATCTTCGGCAAAATTGCCGAAGCTTCGGCATGCCGAAGCCGAAGCCTGAGCTTCGGTACATCCCTATTTTTTATTTTGTTTAAAGAAAGTTTAGATAAGTTAATTATTATTTGTCTATTATTATTTATCTCGTATTTTGATTTTCTGACTCCAAATAATTATCGTATTTAACAATATTATATAATAAATTAGTATAGTATTTAGTATATGTGCGCATTTTGGCTTAAAGAACCTTTTTTTATTTAAGGTAGTTCTTGTACGTGTAAACAACTCTAGCACAATAAGCGTGTGTAATACCTTAGGTACTCAGTTAAATTTTTAGATTCGTCTGAAATATAAAACGAGATTGCGTCTGAAATATAAAACGAGATTGAATGATATAAACTATTATTATATTTTTCTGTAATTGGGAACTTTTAGAGCTTTCGATATTTAAGTTATGGGACTTTTTTTTTTTTATAAGAACATAGAATAAAAGTGTTCATCTTACTTTAATTAGTATAATTAGTCCAACATACCATTATTATTTTAGCCTGAATTAAAGATATTCTACTGTTATATTAATATTTAATTTTTTTCCAAATTTACGCATATCAATATTTTGTTATTTATATATTTTTTTAAGTGCTATGTTTGCTATTTTTTATGTTCTACAAAAACTAAAATTGATTTTTTTATATTTTCATTAAAAGGATTATTTGTTTTGTGCAAATTGGAAAATGTTACTAATTAATTTTGTTTTTTATATTTTCAGTTCAACCATGAGTTTCTGCTCTGCTTTTTTATGCTTAATTTGACTACTGTTGAAATATGGTTTTAATTTAGTAAATTATCATGAATTGAAACTTACTTTATTAATCATTAGCCAACAGTGTAGGTAATAAAATTGAATTCATCACCATTAAGGTAGGATTTACTTTGTTATCTAGTTACACCATTGAACAGTTTTTTATGATTATTGTTATGTAATTGCTATTTTGTGTAAAAATATTATATTTTTTGTGGCAACATTAGATTATGTTATATCTAAAGTAAAATTAGAATTTTATTCATTTTTCGTTTTTTTTAGGTAACTTCAGGTATTTCTTGCTAATACTTCTCTCAAAAAAATTTAAATATTTTCACTTTTAAAGGGGTATTATACTAATACTAATATTCTTCATAAATAAACAAAAGTTTATTTAGTTTCAGTAGTGAAGTAGTGGTAAAGCGCTCACTTTATTAGTCCATAAGATAGTACTGCGCACAACTTGTTTCTTGATGCAGCAGCCTTGCTTGCCAAGGTTTGTGTTTCAAAGTTATTGAGAGAGGGTTGCAATCAAAACTAAAAGTTGCCTCCTTGACTATAGTACCCTTCATGGCCTTGGAAAGGTGAATTGATATGCAAGAAAAAAAAAGATAAGTCATTAAATGTATAATTATTTATTTTAAAAAAGGTTTTTAAATTAAGTAATTGCTGACTACCTATTTATAAAATCTGTTGCCAACAAGAGTTGGGTTTAATAGAAAGGACTCTTTTTTTTTTTCAACATCTTTGTTTCTAACATCCTTGCTTCCAACAAGGCTGTAAACAAGCACTATTTGAGTTTTGAAGTTACTGTCTGAGAACATATAAAATTTATAGAGCAAGATAGTGATTGACAGATGAGTTAAAAGATTGCAAAATATATGAGTAGAGAAACAAGATAAAATAGGAAAATCCCAAAGCATTGATGTTCAAGGAAAAAACTAGATGAATGAGAGTTTTCGGAGGACTTAGGAACAGTCGAATTTATCGAATGACAAGTAACATGAGAATGAATTTTAGTAAATGGCAAAAGAGACGCTAGCTCTTTGGAGCAGTGCCCATTATAGTATTTTTAGAAAAGAGAATGAGAAGCAACATTGCGACAATATAATAATGGTTGGAGGTTGGCTGTAAGAGCAGGTCCAACTATGTGTACTACGCGTTATTGTACCTTTTCTAATATGGACAGCGCATCATTGGAAGATCCACCCCAGATATGGCAACAGTATTCCATACAAAGATGGATTTTCATTGAACAAAAACTTTTCATTTAACGAAATTTGACTGCACAAAAAGTGCATAATGTAATTATGAATGCTTCTGTGGAAAATCCTAAGTTATCTCAAACTCAGTTATAAAAATTGTGCTATATTCAAAAAGGACTATGGTCAGAAATGCTTAACATTTAATGCATTAAATAGAAAGTGTGCAAGTAACTACAGTTTAAAAATCAATAAATAAAAAAGAAGATTATTTTATGGGTAAAAGTTAGATCGAATTTTCACATTGCTGAGCTTTTATCCTATAATGGATAATAGAAAAACCATAAAGTCAAATCTTTAAAAAAATATAAAGCTCCAAATTGAAATGCTAAAAGATATTTATTGCAAGAAGTTGTGGAGTAAAGTTATACAAATTATCGTGTAAAAAAAAAAAAAGGGGGTTAACAGGGAGTTATAATCCGAGAAGATATAAAGTAGAGGAGTGGCTGAGAGTTTTGACATTCATTAATATAATAATATTAACAATATTGGATTAATTATTTGCATTTAAATTGTTAAGTTTTGTTTGAGTTGAAAATCAAGCAAAAATAGCCACTACAAAATCAAGAGCATGCCTCACCGCCTCCATCTTACGCCAATAGAATCTTCTGTAACAGTTAGCAAATCAGCTGAGAAACTTGAGGATTAAAATCTATATTGATTGTCAGAGCGTTGTGAGGATCAAGATAAAATGAGATATTAAAAGTATGTTAATTAAAAACCTTTTTAATGATAAAGACTATTTGGATGATTGCATAATTGAGACTATTCGGATGTTTGTATAATAGAGACTAATAGAGACTAAATTCGGTTAATAAAGTGATTATAGTCTTCTTCAGAATTTTTAGGAGTTGAAACCACATACAGCATTTTCTAGCGAGCTGGAAAAAGAGAATCAGATAAGCTATTACTTTGTAGTTTAGAGAGTAGCAAAGAAAGATTTTGTGAACACTTATTAAACCTATGACAGGAATGTTATCTGGATTATATGCATAGATAAGTTTAAATGAGTAATAAATTTAGTAACGGAAGCTGAAGTAATTTGGATGTCTAACAATGTATTAACCTGATTTTCTGGAATAAAAATAAGAGTGCGACCATTAAGTTCAAGAGACAAATTGGAGGAAAATTTCTTTATAAATAGTTTTTCTTAATTATCCTAGAGAGTGGCAATAAGATCAGATCTAATTATAAGAGATTTTAAACCTTCCTTTGTTAACATTACATTGATTACTTGCAATAATAAAAAGACACTTGTTTTAAAGAGAGTTGTTTTTCAAAATAAGAAAAAAAAAACTGATTACGATTAGGAATAGCAGTTGGATAAGAAATGTTAAAACCATGGAATAGAATGAAGCTTGACTTAAGCCGAATGAGAAGAAGTAAAAACTTCCATACCTGCCTTAATTCAGTAGATTTTGTATGCGGCAAAATTATCAGTGGAAAAACTAAAGAAATTTTCCCGACAATAAAGAAAATCATGAAAAGAATTCCAGTCAGCTTTAAGCTTAGATAGTGCTAGTAAGATAAAGCTAGTAAAGATAGTAATAAAGTCTGAAGTACAAAGTTTAGTGAGATTACAGCATGGTCTACCATAATGGAGAACAAGGAGAAACTAAACACAAACTAGGGTAAGAAACAAGACACAAATCAAGGAGTGAATATAATTGAATAGGGTTGTCTGGAATACAAGTAACTATACGAGTAAGAGAATGAGATATTACAAAAGTTATTACTTTTATTCCCAGCAGGGTAAGTGATACTTAAGTCAAGCCATACAGTGTAGTAAATAGTAAAGTCACCAATAACAATATTATTGGCTGATAGATAAAGAAAAAGAGTTCGGTCAATTTGATCAGAAATAACATTTAAAAGAGTACAGTCTTGAAAGCAGAAGTTTGATTAGAGCATGAATGATAAGGTTAAAAGAATGATTAAAACATGAATGACAAGAGAATAATTAGGAGAATGAGAAAATAAGAAGAAAGTAAAGACTCAATGAACAGGTCCTAAGCAGAAGAAGATAAAAGAATGGTCAGCGTATTCATACCTGATTCAGGACAAATAGGTGAATTGATGCTAAAGTATATACCAAAGCCAAGCATGTAGTCATTTGAGTCTTTATGAGTTAAACAATAATAGCCATAAACACAGAGATCCAAAAATGAAACAGTCAAATTTAGATTAGTTTTATAAAGAGCAAATAACTCTGACGAATTTTGTAAGAAGTAAAATTCAACTGATAAAAAATGACTTAGAAGACCACAAATATTCGTAAAAAGCAGATTAAAACAATTAGATGGTAGTGATTTTTTAAAAATGATTTTAGGTACTTTTTAAAATGTTTTTAGGTTCTTAGTCATGAATTTAGTTATTAGAAATTTTGGTTCATTTATAAATAGTGCTTGGCTCCCCAAGCAATAAGTTATGCAGTTGCATATCTCGATGCACAGTCCAATGTTGTAACAAAAAGCTTTTTATGTGGGTTTGACAATGCCAACGAATAGGACTTAGCAGAGACACCATTCAAGCGCAACATGGCACTGTTAATAATTTAAAAGTAATATTTTACAACTTTAAACAGATTAAACATTTCTTAGAGATATCACAAGCTTTCTAATAGCTGTTATCGGAATCATTAAACTGAATTTTCGGTCCGTCCCCTAATTAGGAGATAACAAAGTAAAAAATTGCATAACCACTATCCAGGAGGCACAAGCATTCACAAAAGAGCAGAGTTAAGAAGATCAAGCATTCATCATCTTAGCTAGGAAACAACGTAACACAGGCGTAATTTGTGCTTAGATGTTTACAACTTCGTCAGGCTAATAAAGAAGGAACGCGAGATTGGTCATCACAATTTTTCTGATTACCACTAAAGGCTTAGCCTAGAAGTTTTTCTACAAGATACTAGCCAGATGCAATTAATATTGAGGTATCATCTTTAGTTATAACTCAACCGACTGGCAAAGGTATTTTAAATCAGAGTTTGGTTTTTTTAGGTTTCACTTAGAAATTGAATCATTCAAGGCAGCAGAATATAGTGCAAGTTGTACATTTTTACGTGTTACCGGTTGCAGAGTGATTATGATAATCCTTAATCTGATTCGTGCGGCGAATTAGCAGCCGGTCTATTATCTGTCATTTTCAATTCCGCGCGTCAAGTTAATAGTTGTTTTTTCTATATTCATGCACATCAAGTTAATGTGCTAAATACGTTTTGTTCCAAATAGCCTAAAAACTCTTTTTAAGTGACGTAAGACAACATTAAACGGTTAACGTTAACGGGAATATTATTATTTAGTTCATTAATGTTATCATCATCATCATCATTATTATTTTATTATTATTATTATTATTATTTATATACCTAGTGATTCTTTTTATGAATGTTTACTTAAGGTTTATAGCTTTATCATTTGTAAATATACATAGAATAATTTTGAAAAAAATAAATATGATATGATTATGATTGATGACCGATAGCAAACATGAAATTTTGTAAAAAACAAATAACTCGGTAGATATCTGCAATACTTTGTATAAATATACTTTTTTAAAACTACTTAGTTTCCAGATCGAAATTTAACAAACATCAATTTTTTTTAAAAAAAGCAGCAGTTTGAAGTTGTATCCAAGTTTAAGTTACGTCATATCTAAAGGAACATATCAGTCTCCTATGCCAGGAGGTAAGCCGCCATCTTGAATTACTTTTTTAATGGTAGAAAATCTACTTTTATCTAACGTATAATTCGTTTAATGTATGAATTTCGTTGTTATATTGGATATTAAAAGTCTATATAATGCTATAATGCATCTATTTATGTATGCAGGTATACTGGCCGACAATTATTAAATGGAGGAGAATCATTTAAATAAACTGGCATCGGAAAAATGATGAAAGGTCGGTAGTATACAAGTATCATGCGTATCAAAATGTCAAAAAAATTTTTACTCTGAAAATGAATAGATTTTATAATTAGTTAGTTATGACAAAATTGATGATAAATTGAAGTATGATTTTTATTATGTTCATCATTAGCAAAATTTCGGCCACTGAATACCTAGACATCCCCCAATATCATCAAAGAGACATTCAAAGCACAAAAATAAAATTGTTTAAACGACTTAACAAGTGTATCACTTGTAAAAATATTAATAATATTAGTAATAATAATAAAATTTATAATAGTAATAATAATAATAATAATAATAATATTGATAATAATAATAACAACAATGGCAACAATAATAACCAAAAAAAAAATAATGAAAATAATATTAATAATAATAATACTGTCAAAAATACTATAATAAGTATAAAGTAGGTTTTATTTATACACACACACGCACACACACAAACACACACTCATACACACACATACACACACATACACACACATGTGAGGGTTTGGCATAGGGCAAAAATCTTAAAAAGTTTACTGATAAGAGCAATAGCGTAATTAGCAAAAAAATAATTATTTTAGGCTGCCTAACTGTAGAATTACATTGTATAAGTGTATATATAAATATATATATATATATATATATATATACATACATACAAACACACACATACACGCACATTCATACATGTACAAAATACCTACTTCATATTCTCTATATTATTTATGTTATTACTATCATTATTATTGTTAATATATTTAAATGTACATATTATATGGCAAAACATAAAATTCAGTAGAAACTGCATTATCGTCTATATAGATATATATATATATATATATATATATATATATATATATATATATATATATATATATATATATATATATATATATATATCAGGGTGTTACCCAGCCTGATGGCACCGCGTATAATGTGGTATTCACAATTGGTTTAAAATTTCCAAAGGTTTATAAGATCATAGTAAAAAGTTTCGTTTTCGGTGTAACATAAGTGGCATTTTTAGTAATATGTTTGCTCTCTTTTGGCCAATTTCAAAACTTTTTAGCTTATTTTATTCATTAGACTAACAGTTTTCATACAAAATAGCTGAAAGTTTAATTTAAAGTTTAAATAAGCAAATATTTGATAAAGTTTATATAACTTACATCATACGCGCTGATGTAAGTTATAAATAGAATTGCCCATATATGTCTGTTTAATGTTTTTATTTTCTCATTAATAACTATAATAATAAGTTATTATTAATTAAAAAACAAAAACAATAACATGACTAATTAGTTTGGTTTTTTCAGCGCGTTTTTAAAATGCGTCATTTTTAATATATGAAAAAAAATGTTGGCCAAGTTATCAACAAAAAAAAATATATGCGTGATCATTCAAGGCATGCAACCGCACGCGTCTCCTCAGAAAGCCTGCTGTTAGTCAATTTTTATGCAATAAAAATTTACAAAAATCATAATTAAGTTTTCTTTTTGTCAAAAGAAACATACTTTGATTTAATAACTGCTTTAACTATTCTTTGTCTTTCACAGGAAGATGTGCAATCACACATCTTTATATGCCCATGCAAAAAGTAATATGTTTTGACCACAGCTTTTTTTAAATATTTTCAAAATTTAAAAAATTTGCTACAAAAACTTACCTAAATTATCTAAAAAAAAATCCTAAAGAAGAAAAAAAACTTAACAAAAAATAAAATAAAAAAAATACTTAATTTAAGCAAAAACGCAATATAAATATATATATATATATATATATATATATATATATATATATATATATATATATATATATATATATATATATATATATATCAGGCTTGGTCGGGAAGCGAGAGCAATTGCTGTCGAATACTAACCGCAGAAATAATATTTAGTTGTGACAAACTGGCTAGATTTTTTAGCAAAAAAAAATCGCAAAAGATTAATTGGACCAATGAGAGACTATTACAAAAAAATAAAAAAAATTAAGAATATAAAAAAATCTTTTAATGCGAAAAAACTTATAGCAAAATAAATTACATTTAGAACAAATATTTTCAAAACATCGCTCTTTTTCAATTTTTTTATAAAATTAAATGACGTTTTTTATATAAAGTAACATATTAGGATTATTTAAAAAGGAAACAAATGTTCTTTATTTAACAAAGAGTTAAATATATTTTTTATTTATATATTTGTGTCTTATTTCCAGTGCTAGATTAAGGAGGGTTGGTGTTAAAGGGAGCTATAGCCTTCGAAAAAGTCAAAAAAACCTTTTTTTAGTCATTTTTACGCTGTTACACATAAAAAGGCTGCCAAAATGAAAATAGCGTCCAGCCCTGACAAGTCTAAAAAGATTTTAATAAAACTAACACAAAAAAAAAGCTTGAAGGGATCCCAAACTCCCAACACATGTTGTGTTCATATTAAAGATAATGTTAGAAAAAAAGGTTTCAAACAAGTTTTTTTTGATTAAAAATAAATAATGAATGCATACCGAGAAAAACTAATGTTGTTGTTTTAGCCGAAGCTCACCTTCTCCATTTTTTTCAATAACTCGGAGTCTTTAAATTATGTCTCAATCTACAGACTTCGACGATTCCTTTGAAGCGCGTTTAATTCATAAAAGTTTTAGCATTTGACGTCACGGTAGATTTTTAACAAAAGAAAAGTGTAATTAAACAAAGCTGCGTTTTTCTACTTTAATTCAAAAAGTATGATCTAGTAATTTTTTAACATACAGCAAAACAACTTTTACAACAAATTTTTGTAAAAATCAAAAATAATAAAAGCTTTTTCATAGGAGGAACTTTTTTTTTAATGATATCTTAATAATTTTTAAATTTAAATATCTTATAATTCTTTTGTTTTTAAATTAAAACAAATATTAAAGCTTTACTTACGAATCTTATGATTTTCATACAAGTGTTTTACATTATATAGAACACTATGTATACTATGTATACTCTCGTTTTAGTGCAAGAGAGCTCAGTATTATATATTCTGAATCTTACTTATTTTTATTTAAGCAATTGGAACTTTTTTCTAACTGCTCTGATTATTTTTACGCTATCATATTTTTTGTCTTCCTGTCGAAAAAAAATGTCGAAAATTTATTAACAATTAATTTCATAAACTGACAGTATTAATTAGAGATATTTGATGAATTGTTAACTTTTTTTATTATAAAATTTTTTTGACTACGCTGATTTATTTTAAATTGCAAAATATGCTGAATGGGATACGGATAAAAAGGAAATATCTTTTTATTTTACATTTGATTTTTGATAATGGAACTTTTAAAATGTCGGCAAATCCATACCAATTAGAACCTGTTAAGGTTATGAAAAAAAATACAAGAATATACTAAACAATACAGTTGACAGTAGTATCAGATATGAAAATTTGTGAAAGCATATGTGAGATCCTGGTTTTGCATTAAAAGTACAATTAATAGCAACACAAGTCGGCATTATAAAATTTTGATTACAAGTTTACTGTTCAATATTTTATAACCATCAAATAAAAAACATGAAGTTTGTATATTTTTGCCTGTTTTATACAACTAATATTTAACAAAAATACAGACAAATTATTATTATATAACGCAATAATTAACAGATTAATTAATGGCAATAGTTCAAGATAAATGGTAATTTAAATTGTCAAAATGTCATAACGCATGTTAAAAAATATTATATTTGGTATTTCCCAATTTATGTCGTATTTGGCATTTGTCTCTTAACATGAAAAATTAAAAAAATTTTGAAACATAACAAATACAAATTTTCAAGCAATTTTCTCTTCCAATTTTCATTTATTCAAAGAAAAGTTGCTATTAAACTTTTATTTATCTCATCTAAAAAAAGAATGAGTGATGGAAAAAAAAAAAAAATTCTATACAACTCTTATTTATTCGAAGTTTAATTTCATGCAAAGCCAATTGAGACGAAATATTGTCTAACCAAATAAAAATGCTGTTACTAATTTTATAAGGGTAATTAATGTAAAACAATTTTTTATCAGAGTCTTGATTGAGATAATAAATATTCATAATTTATAAACATTAAGTATATGGCACAATAACAAATATATAGCAATGAACCAGCATAAAATATTTGAGATTTTTATTATCTTTTTAAATGTTAAAAATAGAAAAAAAAAACTAAACAAATAATCAAAAAAAGTTCAAATAAAAATAGATAAAAATATCTGTAAAAAATAAGTTGCTCCTATAAAATAAAAATAATTTATTGTTTTTACTTTTAACAATATTTTTTTTGCGATGTTTGGAAAAATAATACAAATAAATTTGTTTTGCTGTATGTTAAAAAAATACTACAGTAGAAAAACGCAGCTAAGTTTTATTACACTTTTCTTTTGTTAAAAGTCTACCGTGACGTCAAATACTAAAACTTTTATGAATTAAACGCGCTTCAAAGGAATTGCCAAAGTCTGTAGATTGCGATGTATAATTTATAGACTCCGAGTTATTGAAAAAAATGGAGAAGGCGAGCTTCAGCTAAAACAACAACATTAGTTTTTCTCGGTATGCATTCATTATTTATTTTTAATCAAAAAAATTTGGTTTAAACCTTTTTTTTTAACATTATCTTTAATATGAACACAACATGTGTTGGGAGTTTGGGATCTCTTTAAACTAACATTTAGGATCCCTTTAAACTAACTATTTTATGCTTTGTGTAGTTTAAAAAGTTTAACATATTTGAAACAATTCTTCTAAGATGATAGTAAGATGAACCAATGAAATCATGAAATTGCTAGGGTAGGGTGGGGTAATCTGAGCCTGGTTTTACCTATTTCTGACTTAGAATTAAAAAAAAGCAATGTTTAGGTATCGGCTTTCTGACAAAAGATGTCTTAAAATCATGATTAGGCATCCTGCTAAACAAATTTAACAAAAAACTATTACTAAAAATACTATTAATAGGTATGGGGAGCCTTTATTTGAAGATGCCTATATAGACCCACA